ATCAACCAAATGTAACTTTATTTCTGTCATCATCTAGGTCATTCATAAGGTAAACTTACCTCAGGCATATAGGCAGAGGTTGATAAAATTATTTTTTTCAGTAAGAATGATATCTAAATCCACTTCCTTTATTTCATTTGGTTTCTCAAGTTCATTGTTTTGGTTTATTTTCCTGTTGTTTAGCACTGTGTTTTGTTTATGCTGTTGCACCTTGAAGTACTTGGGACTGGCTTTTGATGCTGGAGAACAGAGTTGCAATTTGGAGTTTGTTTATTATTCAGCTCATGATGTGCTGATGGTCAGTGTTTATTTACAGGCCAAGCAGAGAGGAAGAACCATGAGCTCTCTCTCACTTGGAAAGTTTCCCAAGGCAGCAATCATTCCTCACTTCATGCTACCAGAATAGTTTCATGTGTACAGGTTTGCCAAACACATGGTCAAGATAAAATTACTTATTTCTCCTTGAGGCTTTCCTGGTGGGAGTGAAGCTTGTTTGTTACAAGAAAAGCCCTGGTCAGAGTCTTTCCTTTTCTTACTGTCCCTTTGGCTTAGTTTCTTTTCTCTTCTAAGTGAAATTTAACAGCTTGTCTACTTGTTTTCCCACAATGGTCTCCTACAAAACCAAATGCAAGCCACTGTAACCAGTCAATGTTTCAGTTCCTGGAACTGAAGGGAATGTATAAGCAAGAAAAACAGAATCACTGTATGGATTACAGGATTTTTTTCAATAGTATTGCTATGTAAGGCAATAGAGTCTATGCACTTAGCACAAGCTTGCTGCTGATATATTTGGAAAACAAGAAAGCAAACAACTGAATTTCATTCTCAGTGTTTTTATCCTGATTTTTTTCTCCTGTTTTCCTATATAACTGTAACCTAGTAACTCTAGGTAGTGATCAGAAAGCCAACTGCAGCCTGCATCATATGGATGTAACTTGAAACAATTGGAGAAATGACCATAGTGCTTAAAATTATTAACTGTGCCAAGCTGTTTCTTCTCAGCAGAGATGAAATCTACTGAGAAACTGTTTGAGTTTGCTGTCCAAACACATGAGTAATTAAATACTTGGAATGGTATGTTTACAAAAACACCATGCAATTACAGATACTTCTGAAATCCATTACTGATACTTCTGATACTTCTAAGCATCAACCATGTCACAAACATTTCTACATACCAACATTAGTACTGTTGGTGTTTGTACTCACAAAGTGTGTAAAGGTCCCTCCTAAAGTGAGGGCTCATTGTACAAGGTGCTAGGTGTCATACTTCTGGATAATTATGTGTGTCCTTCTCAAATACATGATTTTGGTTTACCAAGATAAAGGGAGAAGGACAATGCTATTCCTTTCATCTGTTGCTGGCGTGGAGTTGTACAAAAGGACAGATGTGTAATCACATCACAAGAAGGAATGGCTGTAGTCTGTGAATTTACATAGTTTTGAAATAAGAGGTTTCTAGTTATCGAAGCAGTTCTGTCATTTTAGAATAAACCTTCATCAGTTTTCAGAAGGGCTTGTATAATCAAAACACTGATGGGACTAAAGAGACACAGAGTTTTGTTCCAGCTCTATGATCTCTACCTCCTGGAGACCTGGAAATAACTGTCACCTGCTTGCCACTCATATTTACATGCACCACTGTGAAACTGTAATGTGAAAAAGGGACACCTGAAGCAGAAATTTCAGCTTCTTAGAGGGGTTTTTTTCCTCATGGTCAGGTCACTGCCTTGGAATTGATGGTAAGGATCATTGGGGTGAATAAGTAAAACATTGTATTTACTGTGTAATAGTAGGAAACAAACTTCTGATTCACTTCTTTTTTTTTTTTTTTATACCAAAAATCTGATAAATTAGCTTACTTTTTTTTTTTTTATACCAAAAATCTGATAAATTAGCTTACTTTTTTTAACCACTTCAGCACTAAGTGCTTAGTGCACATAATAACACAAATCCAGAAGTAACAATCTAAACAATCCTGTTAGTGTAGACAGAAAAAGGTTGCTGGTCTGGCCTGGTAATATCTTATTCCAAGAAATGTGTTTCCATCTGCTCGTATTTGGACTGTGCAGCATAAACTTTTGATTTAATTGTAGCTCACTTAGAGTTTAGAAGATCCATTTGCTCTTAGTCCTAGTAGGCTCCAAAGTTCATTCCTCTAGGAATAGCCAGAGATGTTTGAGATTTCTGAAGAACAGGAAGGAACGCTCTGAAATTCACTTGCAGAGTACTCACTGCAGTGTTTAAATAGTGGTGCTAGCTGCTTTGGTGCAGAGAGGATTCAGGGTTACCCACAGTTCAAATGGTTCCTCTGCAGAGATTTACCTCTGTAGTGGTTCTGCAGATTGCAGCATCGTTGTGTTAACTGAATGCACAGTGGCACGGGTGTTGTGCTGGCTGAGGCCCATTGGTTCACACTGGGATGGGCTTAGGTCTTTCTTGAAGGAGGATTTTGGAGAGTGAATGAGAGGTGAAGTTTGTGGATGAAGTATTTTTTCCACATAGTCTGCACAAGTGTTAGCTATACATGATTCATAATTCTGTACAGGCATTTAGGTCAAGGGATGGGATTGAGGATCTTTGGTGAATGTTGAAAGAATGCAAAATTCTATCTTTTTCTTTTTTAACCTAACATATGCATCCTCAAAATGCCTCTGTTCTGAATATCTTTGAAGTTATAAGTTACTCAGACTGCCTTTCTTCCCTTTCAGGCTGCTTGTCTAAAGGGCGTGATAACCCTGATAAGTCAACACAATCTCTTTTATTTACCAAACTGGGAAGTCTCTAGAAAATTCCAGTCATGGGAAAGTTGTGTAACCCTCAATGCACAGTATTCTGATGCTTTTCTGGGCTTATAATGATTACTATCCATTTTAAAGTGCTAGTTTTGCTGTCTGGTACTAAGTGGATTTTAAGAATTTTATTTGTCACAGGGCAGTAGGGTACTAGAGGAAATCCATCTTAAAATAATGGTGTAATTCTCCCACATATCTGTACTGCTGAAACAGTCCATTTTCTTGCCTCCTTTCATATCTTTCTTCCCCTTGAAATTAAAAAGAAAAAGAAATTTAAAAATGAGCTCTGCTGGTCTCTGTGCATACAGGGCAGGGTAAACTGTTTTTTTTCTTCATTTCCTGCCACTTTATGCTTCTGTCAGGACTTTTCCAGGAGAAAGGGCAGGTCAGCATCCAGTTTTCTGAGAAAAGAAAACTTAGTTACAGATGTTTAAACAAGACCAAAACAAACAGCTTAATTGGTCACATGAGGAAAACAAGACACCAAGGTCATCCTCTCCTTCCCTTATATGGCCTCCAGATGACCCTAAACATCTGATTTTTTTTTTTCCCTTAGCTTGCTTCTATGTTTAGCTTTGTAGTTTCTATTAACAGCACCCAGAATAGCTATTTTTCAGGGCAGGCAGGTGTACCTGCCCACGCTGCATGGAGACAGGGCTCCTGCCATGGCAGTGGAGGAAAAGGGGCTCGAGTGCTGCTGTTCCTTGCAGGAGGGAATTTGCTGTGTAACAAGGGTGAGATGTGCAGGGTGACTGGTTAGGGTTCATAGCCTCTGGAAAGTCTATGGCAAGGGGGGGGTTGGTCCTATGACAAATTGCATTTAACCATCAGGATTATCTCTGAGGATCCTCTTTTGTGTTTGCAGGAAATGGTACATTTTGCATTCTATTCTGCTCAAAAAGATTCATCTTCAGACAGGAATTCTAGTTGTCAGGCAGGTTTGTGACTTCTGAACTTTTGAGGTTTTCAGCTCTTTCTTGACTGCTGATCTGCCTTCAGCTGACAAAGGACTTTGTGGCCCTGAGGAGAATAATAATATTGGAAGCTATTTAATGATCTGTTTCCTTCAGAAATGCTTAAAGATTGAATGCATTTAAATATGTCTGCTTTTTAGGCCCAATTTTGTTAATACGGGGTAAAGTGAAGTCTCGGTGAAGTATCTGTTCTTGTACACTACCATGAAGTTTCACCCTGAAAAACCCTTTAGTTAGGTGAGAGACAGGAGGCCAAGAAACGCTGCTTAAAGCTTTTTCAAATAGGTCTGAGTTTCAGTATTTTCAAGTACTTCAACACCATGGCAACAAGAGCTTCAATGCTTGAGATAATTGGGGACAGAATTAGCATATTTCCCTAGGAAGAGTCTTCCGAGAGTTTTGAAGTGGTTTGCAAAACTGGGGTGGTCATGGTTTCCAGTCAGAGAGAATTTCTCTGCCTGGACCTGACTCTCCCAGTTTCTAGCTAACAATCAGAGCACTTTCCAGTGCTCCATTCCATCTAGCAGATTCACAGATCTGTGTGAGATGCATACTGTTGAAGGGCCTACTAAATTCAGTTTTCACATCTGTGAAAACATTTGCTGAGCTACAGCAAAATCATGCTTAACTCTGGACAAGGTCTAAGATGTTTTTTCAAATTAAATGTGAAGTTCCAGTCAAGCAGCAAAGTAGAAGGTGCATCTGGATGAGAGGGCAGCTCTCTGTACCCAGATCATGATGAGAGTCATTGGCCACTCATCCTCATTCCAGAATCAGCTTCATAAATGTTATTGATAATGAAATGTGCAATTTATTGCTTGCTCTGCCAAGGGATTAGACATTGATGGCAGCAAGGTGGGCAAAGACATGTTGATAGCTTGGAGTGGGGATTAAGTTACATCATAATCAAAATTTGCTAAACCTGGGAGAATCTCCTCATCTGCTCTTACTGGGATTACGAGAGGTGTGGCTCCTTGAGTAGGGATGAAAACGTTCGTTTTGGTGATGGACTGTTTTAACATGAAGATGATTGCTTTATATGAAGGAGTTGCTCAAGTGTAACCCTCCTCTAAACACAGGTGACATTCCTGTCTCAAAGGTGGTAGTGCTTTGACAGTACTGTGACTGTGGTACATAAATTGCTTTAACATTCTATATTGTAAAAAATGGTGGCACTAGTTCCTTCTATTTAATTTTCTAAAAGAAATCATCTACTTTCTTGTCTTAACAGCAGTTGAAAAGAAAGTGCAAAGGAGGTGTTTCCCTCTGCTGGCTTATCTTCACTGTACCTCTCCCATTCTGCTTCCTCCTCCTTCTGATCCCCGAGTGAAGATGAGTGACCAGCTGCGAATATGACATCTCTGACAGGTGTCATTGCCTCCCACCAGTCCGAGTGGGTGTCCTTCCCTGACGAGCTGCTCCTCCCTGTTCCCCCACGAGGTAAGCTCTCTGATTTTCTCTGGAACTGCTGAGACTTCCTTGCTTGATTTAGACCAAGTACTGGCATAAATCTAGCATATATATGTGATGTATGTGGGACAGCTTGCCTTCTAAGTGGAAGCAGTTTGTTCAGAGATTGAATTATCTCCTGCTACCCCTATGTAATAGGAGAATTTGGGCCAAAAAGGCAAATTACTCTCCTTGTGTGATGTAGATCTACTACAGGTTTTGGATCTGTGCTTCAAAATTCAAGACAGTATCCAACCAGCCACGGAGGATGTCTCACCTATTAAAATCAAGTGCAAGACTGCCCAGTGTTAATCCAAAAACTGCATTAGGTGAAGGAAAAATTCCTACATTTAGTCGCAAATTTTAGATGTTTCAATAAAAAACAATGAAATAATGATCAATCCTGTAAATCTTCTATGTTACCTCTATTTTAGGTAGCACTGAGGCTCCTCCAGTGAAATGTTTTAATTCCTCTGACACATCTTCAGAAGAGAACCACAGTGCAAATGGAGGATTTCAAGACCTTTTCTGCTCAGAGTTGGAGGAGGCAGCTGAGCAGCCCAAGGTGGATTCTGGTAACCATGTGTCTCCCAACACTGATCTGTCTTCGTCCATCAGTGCTTGGGTTCAGTTTGAGGATGCACCATGGACCAGTGCTTCATCAACCCACCCACAAACAGGTGAGGCAAAAGCAATGAGAAAGTCTGTTCCAGTAAGATAACAAAGTGCAATGAGAGCATACAGGATTTTTGCCTTGCTCTTTGGCTTCTCAAAGGTTTGAGTAGTTTGCACTGTATTTTAACACAATTAATGTTATCAGAGTTTCAAAAAGGGCCTTCTGGATTGAACAAGAAATATTTTATTTTTGTAAAGAAACTGAAAGCCTTTTGTGATTCACTCCACCTGTGTCTTGACTAAGTCTTGGAGATTGCCGAAATGCATTCATGGGGAAAGAGCACAGAGGTGTTTTCAGCAGTGACATTTCTTACATAGAGATATGAAAAGCCATTGAAAGAGTCTGAGCCATATTTGCCTTTGTATTCGGGAACCCAAAGAATGGTGATCACCTCTGTGATCCTAGCCTTTACCTGATCTTAGTTCCCATATGCTTTTTGCCAGCAGTTCATTGAAACCAGCAACTACTGTGCCAGTGCTCATCAGTACTTCCTGCTGTCTTTTGATACTTCCTGCTGTCTTGTGATTTAGCAGCTGGAGAATGACAAAGACAACAGGTGTTTACCTTAATTCCAGCACTGCATGCACTTTTCTGCAAATAGAGCAGTTCTTTCTGGCATGCTTTAAACATGCATGCAAATCCCCTGCCTTGCCTCATCAGCTCATGGTCACTACGTGGCTATATGAGCTTCTAGCTTTTCTGCATGAACAGACTTCTGTCCTTCCTTGCAGGAGGTTGTGGAGTAATTGCCCAAGTAAACAACAGTTTACTTTTTCAAGTTTCAATTCAGATTCTCTCTTATTAATTCCACTTTGTGACTGCTATGTATTAAAGCAGTTTAAAGAGTTATAGCTTTCCTCTGCTCACTGAGTCCATCAGATATTCCCTGTAACACATGAATAGTACTTCTGTCAGAGAACTTGGATTGTCAGCTTTGGATTGGATTTTGGATAAACCCCATCTGGTTTTCCATCTGCTATTTTGATGGATGCTACAGACTAGTCCTTTTGAGACAGTGTGGTTGGATCTTTGTACACAAGTAAGGGAACCTTTAGAATCTCTTCTAAAAGAGATTTCCCTGACCTTCTTTATATTTATTTGTTGGTTCTTAGTTGTAAATACTTATTTATCGTTGTGCTGTGGAGAGAAGGAAGAGCACCCATGAAGTGTAAATATGTAAAACTGAGATACTCTACCTCTCTCTCTAGTTTCATGGCTATGTGATCCTTATGCTTACTCACACAGCCACGTACTGTTTCAAATGGGGCTGTTGGTTGCTCTGACTTGGTATTTCCTTCCTAATGTTGTTATATCCTTGTTAACTGAAAAACCTATAAATGTGCCTTCTTAATTAAAAAAAACCTTTTAATTAAATTTAAAATTTTTGCTCAACCTTAAAAAAGCTAATCATAAGAAAAAGACTTCCATAAACCAAATTTTATGGTATATCACCTGATGTCCTACCCTTGGAGGGATATGGCCTGGTCTTAAGGTATATGATTAGCAAAAGCACTGCCTGTTGGTGTGTGTTTTCAGTCACAGGGGACGCTAGTCTGTAGGCAGAGGTCTAGGACATCCAGATGAGGAGAGTAGAGTAGACTTTCCCAAAGCATTGCAGTTTTGTAGGAGACACTCATTTGTGTCCCTGTAGAGGTTTGTCCTGTATGATCCATGTCACTGAGGGAGGATATTTGCACGCTGACTTTGGCATCTGACTGAGATTCATGGAGGAGGGTGGTTCCCCTAACAGTCAGACCAGGATGTACTCCATGTAATTCTTGCATGGGAAACTGTTATTCTGTGAACTGTATAGGAACCCTAAGGAAGTGTTTCCTAAGGGTATTTTAAAATCCTTACTTATGAGCTGGTCCCACTCCTTTTCTGAACCCTGTATGATAAAGGGCCAGATCAGTGCAGCTGACAGGCTCTAAAGGGAAGCAGAAATGACAGGTCTTTGTTTCTAGCCCTTTACTTTGACACTTGACAGCAAGAGGTAGGATAAACTCCAGCCTAGTTGTTCTCCATTATTGTGCAGATCACGATTTAATTCTATGGGCGGCAGCAAAGCTGGAGAGCTGCACTCGCTGACACCCGAGTGGAAAGCCCGAGGTGACAGCAATTACTCATTTCCAGTAGCAAACACTCTGCACAGGAACAATGGCAAGTACCCAGCCGGAGGAGGGAGGAGTGTAAGGGCTAAGTGCAAGCAGAAGGATTGGTGTGAGAAGGATGGCCACATTTGAAATCTGTTTCCTGTGCAGGCAGCTGTGAAGAGCAACGTCCTGGAGGCTCAGCACCCCTGTCAGGGCTCCAGCGCTGTTAGGAAATCGTCTGTCTGTCTGTCTGTCTGTCTGAATGTGCTTGAGCAGCTGCTCAGCTGACCAGATAATTACCCAGGCTGATGGCCAGGCTGCCTGGAAATACATTTTGAAAAGGGATTGCAAAGTGGGATTTCCAGAGTGCCATGAGAGCAAAGAGGATCAGTCCTCAGAGGGAGAGATTCTGTACATTGGGGCTACAGTATTTTGGCACAGGTTTCTCCAAAAGCAAATATTTCTCTGAAAATGCTCAGAGTCTAAAAAAAATTTAATTTAATAACAGTTGGAATGTAGTGGTTATTCTATAGGAAGTACATTTTAAACAAAACCAAGGCTAATGCTGAATCGTTTTTGTTCTGGGAAAACTGGAGGCATGGTTTGGAGACTGATGGCAAGAAACAGGGCTGAACAAACTGGCAAAGAATTCGGAAGATGAAAAGAAAGGTCAAAATCTGAGGTACAGAAATGAAAAGCACCCATAATAAGTCTCACAGTGAAAACTATTTCATTTAATATGTTCTTGTAAACCCTTCCTTCTGCCAGGTTCAGGTAGAGTAAATGCTAAGCAAAATGTTTGATTCAAAATATTTCAGCATTTGAGATTTATGTCTAGTTAACTGACAGCTGCCAAATCATGTGGATTTCTCCTCAAGAAGCAAAAACTCTTGAGTGAGGCCATAGAAATATTAAGAAAAATTATGTATTGTGGTGTCCCATTCTCTTTTTTCCTTTTGTGGGGAAAAGGAAAAATTTGAGTTTTGTTATGATTATTATCAGCCTAGTCAAACTGTTACTGCCAAAGTGAAAAATGAGATTTTAAAGCTGACCCAAATGTTCCTATCACAAATGCTACACAATCTGTAAATGATCACAGCCAGCAGGTGACAAAACATTTGCATTTGTTACACAATGGGCCTCCAGCTCACAGTCTCATATTCTATCAGTGTTAGCTGCACTCTTCAATTCAATGAGGTATTCTTACTCACCATAATTAGAGTAAGGCAAGATCTATTACATCATCCACCCTGCTCAGCCACGCCCACTTCTTCCCAAGAGCTTTGTCTGGTTTTAAATGGCTCAAATTACTTGGACTCTTACCATGACCCTTGAGAGGCTATCCAACAGCATATCTGGACTTAACTACTTTGTGCTGTTCTCTCTGAAAGTAGGCAATACTTGCAACACAAGATCAGCAGCTGGAAACTACACCTGTCACTAGAAACTGTGATGCTGTGCTAAAATCAGAAAAATCTGAAGTCCTATGTAATAAGAAAATAAATGATGCTAACATGGTTTATTGTAATACAGTGTAGGGATCAAGGAACAGGTCCTCAAAACACCAAAAAGGAATTAATGCTTCAAGGTAAATCTGCATATTAAAAGCCAATCCATTGTTTTAAGCATAGGTATGTCAAGAAAATTAAAGTGCATGTTGAAGGAAACGTTTTTCGTTTTGGGAATCAGTGAGTTGATTTTCAGTATCCAATGCATGCTACAGAATTTGCAATTTAGGGATAGTTCTGGCTCCAGTCTTTCAACATAAACAGATTTCTGAGAAATTCCTACAGCAGAAAGGCTGTGACTCTCTGGCTATTGGCATTAGAGACTGAATTCAAAACTTCTACAAGAGCCCTGCCTCATTTAGGAATTTGGCTGCAGCACTTCCAGGAATCTGAAGAGCAGCAAGCAGAAGTATCTGAAGAGAGATCCTAAACATGTGTAGATGTTTACTTTTGCTTGTCTTGCTTTTTGAGATTGCTAGATGGTCTTTTGGCTCAGCATAGGAGAAAATGCCCTTTTGCTTGTTTTAATAATTAGTGTTGGGGAACCTAGAACAGTCACAGGTAGAAGGTGACTGTAGTAAGAATTTAAAGAACAGCTGTTGCAGAAAAAACTCCCTGTGGTTTTGGTTTTCCAAAGTACAAAACTCTTTTAAAGAAAAAAGCAAACAATTCTGTTCTTTCAAGATGGCCCAACTTGCCTGGAATAAAATTAATATGCCCTTACATAGAAGTATTTGGCAATGCTAGTCCAGTCAGATGCCTTCTTAGATAAAAACTGAGTTTGGAAAGCACAAAACTAGTTGGCAGTATTTGAGTTATTAGATCTTACATGTTTCTAAATTAGCCTGTTTTTTCATATTGTTGTGACTGACTTAAAAACCACTGGAAATCTACGATTTTTTAAAATGAAATAATTCCACAGTTTATAGGATATAAAGCACACTTTAAAAAAAATCACTTGGCTCCTGTTAGTGATCCACATACAGAGCTCAGCTTTTCAGTTTGTCCTCTATGTCCAAATAAAGTGCTTTGTCTGTCAGAGCAATTTCAGCTGAAGTTTTAAGGATGGCTTTTCAGCCGCTGTGTTTAACAAAAGGACTGAGAGAGGGACTGACAGATTACAATCATATACTCATCATTCTTTCTGTGCAAGCACCGAGCACCACACAGTGTGCAGTTACTGCAGGGAGGAGGGGTGGACGTTGGTTCTGTGTCTGACACAACTGATGTCAACCTGAGCAGAAAGGAGGCAGATGTGCCTTACAGCTCCTCATCCTCAGGGGTGACTCCTCTGAAGGCACTCAGTGTCAGTAGGGTCTCAGCTGTACACTTATAAAAATACCACTGCCTGCTTACCTGAGGCTATCAGTGCAGATATACAAAATAAATTGACATTTCTCAAGAGGCAAGGCAGAGAGCACTGTTTGGATGTTCTGTCTATGCACATATCAAGGTTTCCATAATATGGAAGTGTCCCATCACATCATTTGGATGGAGAGAGAGAAATCTTCTTTAACTAAATTTGTTATTTTTTTCCAAAGTATCTGTCAACCCAGTAAGGGTTGTTTGTTTATTACATACTGAGAAGAGAATCTCTGTGTCAGTAGTTGTTCACTGTAACTGCAAGATTTGTGGAGCATCAAGATCTTTGTTGGTTTAATACAGATGTACTAATTTAGAAAACAGTTACTAAGCTGATATTAAATTAGAACTAGTCTCTACCTGTACACTTTTCTTTAGTTCAGGAAGACTTTTTTACCATAACTTTCTTTTTTATTAATATTATTTCCTCACTCGAGCCGTCCATTGTTGCTAGCATTCAAGTGATGATGTGGGCAAAGAGCATGCAATACAAACAGTACAGAGTACAAACTCATAGCAGTGGATGTGTGTGATTGTGTTCTGAGCTCTGGGTGATGGTTAGACAGGTCTGAACTGTTTGACATGCAAGTCTGGCAAATGAGAACAGGATTTTTGGTCTACACTGAGCAAAAATGTTATGCAGTATATTTAGATTGGGACTCTACATTCTGCATGTTCACAAACAAAAGTTATTCCTAGTGCACATTAATAGGTCAATTTCAGGTAATTTTTGTACTCCCCCTCCATGCAGAGCATTCCTGAGATGATGACTGCATTTGAGTGGGTGTTACAGATAGGGAATGCTTAATTAAATTAAATAAAACCACTTTAAAAAAAATCTGTGGTGCTGTAAAAACTCCAGAGAGTTGCACAACAAACATATTCATATTCAGGTCTTGTCAGCAGTGTCAGAAACGTGAAATCTTGTTCTGAAAAGTCACAGCTTCTCCAGTACTTGAGCAACAGGAAAGCATATGGCTGCCTGCAGCATGGAATCTAAGGCAGACAGCTGAGTAGTGCTGGAGGTGACAGTGCCAGGCACTAGCTAAGTTGTTCTGCATTTGTTACAAAATAACTGTGTTGCTGTGCATGTTGGAATTTGTATTTACAGAGCCCCAGTACACTGGTCTAGCATGTCTTCGGAATAGTTGTGATCTCTGGGTAGACTGCCCTGCATGTCTCTAACCAATGCCTGTTTTTTGCGACCAGTGTCTGCTTCAAAAGCACCCAGCTGGACTTCTCCCTCTTCCAACTCTTCTGAGAGGCAGGCCCGTGCCTCAGAGAGCAGCTGGACAACCAACTCAGAGGACACCAGCAGCCCAAGCATTGCTCCCTCCTACACAGATCTGCAGTCACTGAATACCGAGGACTTGACCAGTGGTAGAACATCTGCAGCAGATTCAGCTGGTAAGAGGGAAGCCTTCAAGCTTCCATCTCAATCTTTTTGATACTACTCAAACTCACTGTTCAGAATTAAGCCACAGGAAATGGATCCAAAGCAGAATAAACTCAAGGATTAGGAAGACTAACATTTTGTTCTGTTCTAATTCAAAAAAAATCACACTCGGACTTCACACAGCACTGACATGTGCAGGCTCCTGAAGTTAGAGCCAAATGCAACTGTGTACCTCTTGACAGACTTGGAGCATTTCTGCTTTTGACATGCCACGTCAGCTTAAGCTGATCTAGGAACTAATAAGTTATGGGAGAGGCTAGATGGCCTTCCTGAATTTCCATGCAGAAATTTTGTCAGCAGTGTATTCAGGTGAGGCAGGCCCAGTTCTGCTTGCTCCTGTCTGTTCCAGTGAGTGCCAAGACACAGATCCAGTTTGCTGGAGGCATTCTTTGCATAGTGGTTTGCACTGTTACTGAACAGTAAATGCAGAGAGAGTGTAAAACATGACATAAGATGGTTCAGGAGCAGATTTTCACCATTTAAGGATCTTGTATCTGACCTTGTAGGGCTCTATTCAGAAACAATCCTGATTATGGAAAAATGTGCTACATGGCATTGTAGCTCTTTGCTCCTCAGTTGTACTCTGGGTAATCTGAAGCGAGAGAAATAGAGCAGAGTAGTAGCAGTCATGTCATGGAGAATGGGAACTGCTGAATGACAAAGCTTTCACAGTGCCTAAAAAAGGTGACATGTCAGGACACAGAAAAAAATACACAGCTCCAGGAGGAAGCACCTGCACTATGTTGAAAGCTGTTCAACCCAAGCTGAGGAAGGTCAGTAGCTTCACAGTTTGGTGATGAAAATCAATTCCCTGGTGTCGTGATAGCTCAGACCTGGGAGAGGTTTAATGTGTTTTCTCTCAGGTGGTGAATGTAAAAATACATGGGAAATAAGATCTGTTTTGTGAGAATGGGCTTCCCAAGCCTTGCTGAGGTCATATGTCCCTTCCTTAAGAAACATATGCATACATCACTTGCAAAGAGTATTATTTGGTGGTTCAGTGAAACTGGGTTAGAGTTGTAGGCAGATTTATAAACAGCAGCGTAGTAGGTGCTGGCTCAGCACTTTCGACAAAGGATTTGTGGAGAAGTAGTAGTTACTTTGGATAAGTACAGCTGTTTCTTTTTTCAAATAATGAAGTTACCACAAATCTGTCTGACCATTTTTGTTTCAGAATACTCTGCTTTCCTGTACCTCTGAGTTTGGAAACCACTTTTTGGTAGAAAGGTAGAATAGGCAAGTTGGAGTATGTGCTGGATATCGCTATTTTGTGATTTGGTATAGGCTGCTGTCACTGGGGCTGTCTCTATCTGAGCAAAGGGAGTGAGGGATGCCCAGTCCATATATAACTTCATATTATATAGGCAAGTCAAAGACAAAGGGCTGCTGTATATGCCTGTCATTCACATGGGATTATATCCTACATATGGCCCCAAGTGAAGCTGATACTTCAGTAAAAGCTTTGTGTGCAACTTTCTTATCTCAGTCAGTCACAAACTGACATATTTATTAGCAAGACGAGTACAAAAGCTCACTCCAGTCACCTAAGAATTTTACAAGTAAAAAAGGAAGTAATACAAGCAAAGCTGTGCTGTTAGTTAAAACAGAAATACATAAAACATAAGGTACACTTACACTTCCAATACCTTAGTGATACTGAAACTTGAAGTGTGAAATACAGGGAGCCTTTGTATCACCAGGTGTAGAGTTTGCAAAAGAGCAGCATGAACAAAGTGCATCTGTTTGTGCTGTTCCTGGGATGCCTCACAGTCCAGTCCCTGAGGTGGCTGCTGGCATCAGGAGGGTTTGTGGAAGTGGAAAAGCTGAGGATGTAGTTGCTGTGGAATTGTTGTACAGTTCTGGCTGCTCTTCTGTTGTTCAGCCCACTGTCCTCCCATCATAACAGTGCACAAGTGGACAGAAATTGTATGATCATTTTCTTCTCTCTATCCTCTCTGCCCCTCTCCAGAAATTCAGTTCTTTAAACCTGACTTGAATCATGCATTTGATTTGCATTTCTCCCCTCAAAGGACTAGCTGCTTCAATCTGTAGTAAAGTTGAAGGCTCCACCAAGACAGTGAAATGGCATGTATTTTGCCATGAAGGAAAAGAGAGGAATCTTCATGCTCTGTGTGATGATGAAGTTACGTTGACTGCTAAACAGGATGTTGACTCCAAGGTCAAGCTTGCTGGAGGGAAAAAAAAAATCAGACTAATTTCACTGCTAAAAGCCCTATGAAAATAATAAATCAATGTTTGATCTACTTATGATGGTAAAGAATCAGGTCTATGAAATAATCTGGGTTTAACACTGTTTCAAATGAGAAAAACCTAGTGATGAGAAAAGCATGAAAAGTTCTACTCTGTGGTCAGATGCTAAGTAAAACAACTATTTTAGCCATGGTGAATTTTTAGTGCCTAAACAGGATAAAAGGACACTCTATTCCATAATTTCACCACTTGTCTTGAATTAATCCTGCATGCAAAATGCTTAAACACCAGCTGCCTGTGGTAGTTCAGGGCACAGGGCTTTGTGTGGGAGCAGATGAAAGCCTGAGGTAGGTCTGACTGCAGGCAAACACAGAGACGAGTCCCAGCCATAAAAATGTGCATCTTGGTGTCCAGGGCTGGTGGGCTCTAAGCAGGTAGAATTGGCTGGGAATTAACTTTCTCACAACTGACACAAAATGTGAGTGTAAAACTTATGGGGTTGAGCTTATATAATGCATGTGTTTATGCAAGATATGGCCTAGGAAGATATCTGAAGGATATCAGAAGATTAGAGAGACCTCTCTCGAGTGATGCAACCTGAAAGTTTACCCTTGCTACAGGGGACAGCAGAAAACCTCCTGACTGATGGAGTTGGGATAAGCAGACTGATGTCTTGTAAAGGCAGCAATATTCACAGTAGTGAAGGTAAATGTTGCATGAGCAGAGGTGAAAAAGATTTGCTTTTCTATCAAAGTGCAGCTAAAAGGTGCTGCACTTCATTGCCTGTGCTTGTTTGAAATCTGGCACCAAGAAGCCTTTTATATTATCCTCATCTTTGCCAGCACAAGGGACTCTTTGACCTGCAGCAGCCAGCCAAGAAATGTGGGTCAGGTGATAGCAGACTGTCCATTTACCAGGGGCATGTTTATGTGGTTCTAACAGCAAGCACTTTGCAACAGCTGGGCTTTAACAGTGTGTGTGAAGCTGTGTTTGGTGCTGCTGAAGTGCCCTTGCCTCAGAGTTCTTACCATGCCTCACCACATCGCCCAGCTTGGATCAATGAGCATGAAAAGAAGTAGGAACTTTTGGCCTTTGTGCTGTGCTCTGCAAGATAAGTAACACAGGACATCTCTGTTACTGATACAATACAAGTATTTGTTCCTTCTGTAGCAGATGCCTGTCTCAGCTTTCAAAAAAAGCCAAATATCTGCGAGACAGAGGAGCAACGGAGAGGCCTTCTTGTAACTGTGGTTATGGATCTGTTCTGAGGTTGTGCCCAAATACCTCACCGCTTGATTTAGATTTCTGCATTTCACCATTCTTCTTTAAAATAATTTTATCTATATAAATTAAAATTATATTGTATACAAAATATAGTTATATATGATTAGTATGCATATAATAAAGAAGATATTATATATATTTACATAGCTCATAAACTATTCTATTATAAACTTCATAGACTATATAATAGAGTCTCTCTGTATCAGATAATAAAGCTGTATATGTCTGTGTGTAGGCATAATTTTGCTCGTAGCAATTTTAGGTGTATTGTTGGTAGTTGTGTTGTTTCTGTTGTGATTTGTATCTTAGCAAAGCTGCAGCTATGCCATGTTTGATGTTAACGGTTCAATTTGCTGGCCAGTTGTTCTCTTTGGCACTTTCTTCTATCTCTGGGACTACTGGGAGACTGAGGAAATTGTTGTGTTATTATTTTCTGAGAACATCTGCATGTTTGGAGATAGAAGGTTGCATGTGTGACCCCTAAGTTCCAAAAATCCAGACAGTTCATAAATAGCACAAGGAATTAACTCTGACAATGTTGTTATTTTCAACATCATTTAATGGGGCTCTGGTGCTTCTCTTCCAAAACCTGGAAATGGCAATTCTGACAAGCTCAGCTCCAGCTATCTCTTGACAGTAACAGAGGGCAAGTAATAACTTTTCAAACCTTTTCCTAATGCTTTTCTGCACTGTTTCTGTTACACTTCTTCTGTAACTGTAGCCAGCTAGATACTGAATCCTGATACGATGACTGCAAGAATGGTGTTCAGTGAGTTTCAAACAAGCAGCTTTGAACAGATTATATAGCTGTGCAATGTGGTTGCACTGAATGCCATGAACAGGGTGCAAGCTCTGAAATTATTCCATGTTATTTACCATGGCAAGAGGGAGAATAGTACATGCTGATGATGACCACCTTCCATCCAGAACTGCATTTCAATTGTGCTGTGTAACTATTAACCCGCTTGTGCTGGGTCCCAGTCCCAGACACATGAAAACTTGTGCATGAGAGGCTGCAGAGAGGAACAACCGTGCTTCAAGGAGGAGGGGACTCCAGAATACCATGAACAAATTGCACCTAAAATATACTCCTAAACAACTCCAAACTGTATGGGCTACATTCAGCACCAGAGGCAGGGTTCTTTATTTTTAATGTCAATACCAACCACCAATTCAGGAGTTTTATATCCTTCTTGTCATCCCAGATTTTTCTCATGCATTTTTAGCTTCTTGGAGAGTAATGAATTAGTGGGACAGATCTGAGAAGGTAGGTCTAGATAATTCTTGGCAGTAGAAGTGCTGTGATCCCAAGATAGACCTGTGTACTGGAAATCAGCTCATCTTCAGGGCTTCCTGGCTGCAGTGTCCCAATGACCTCTGCAGCAGAGTTCAGTCCTCATCCCTGTGTTGCAGGGGGGAAGCCTGCAGCTTGGTTGTGCAAACTGGACCTAGGTGA